AAAGGAAGACTGACTTTCCTGTGAAGACAATGAGGCAGCCTCAAGTAATTTCCAATTGGTTCCACCATTTCATCAAAGTGAAGAATGCCGAAATCCCCTTCTGAGCATCTAAGGTTTATTAGTTTCACCACGAAACTCATAGTAAGAGGGAATTTATTTACAGCTCCCACAAACTCAAAGCAATGTGGTATGTCACACCACAGGCAACCCCACTGGAGTCAGCAGCTCCCTTCACAGCAGGTTGGTGTAGGTCAGCAAGAACAAGCATATTCAGACCTGCCCTGAGCCCAGAACACTGACCCCACCATTAAGAATTTTCCATCCTATAAACCGAGTTTATTTTTGTCCACATAATTTTAAATGCCTGAGCACTAACATTTACCCTCTAGTGAGAGCCAGGAATGCTCTTTCAGAGAAACTAAATAAAGGGAACTTTGAAAGATTACTCCTGGGATCTATTATATATCCTGTATCTGAGTAACACCAACTTTCAAGATTAAAGATAAATAAATACCTTCAGCAGTAATAATCCTAATAATAATGATTATCTGACAGCTCTATGATAGGTCTTTGTCTGGGATGTGCCATGTAAACCCAGTGAAAACAAGGCTGACCAAACGAGGACACTGCACATAGGTGGTGGCTGGAATGAGAATTAGCTTATTACATACAGAGACCTGTACACAGTGGGATTTTGTACCTTATTCCACATCACTACCCATGAGACGCCACAAGTGAGATTACCACCCTTCTTCCACAGGCTGCAGCACATCCCAAGACAGTACCCTTGAAGTCCACGTGGAATTGCAGCACACAGAAAACTGAACAAACTTTCATGGAAAGTTTCATCGGTGCTTGAGTGAAACAAGCCAAATTAGCAAGTAACCACACTGGTGCTGATCCAGATTACTCCACAATTTCTAGGTGAATACTCCAGATTTCTGTCAATGAGACAAAAGACTCTGGCACAGCACAACACCTCAGAGGCAGGCAGCAAGGAGCTACTTGAGATGGAAAGAATTTGGTAGAGATGTCTTGAAAAGAGCCTCAAGCTCACTGCAAGTGCCTGGACACAGCCGCCCAAGTGTGGCTGATAGCAAATCTCACATAAGCACTGGCAAAAGACTGAGAGGTCAGCATGGAGAGGTCAGAGGCCTAATTTTATGCGTACAGGTCCATGCCTTGAGTTTGAATGTCCACAAACGGAGTTTTAAAAAGGCAGAACTGGAGAAGGGCTATAACCTGTACTACAAATCTTTCCAGGAGTTCAAACTCCCACTCTGCTCCTTTCTTCCCGTTTATCACCTTGCCCCCCCCCCCGTGATCTCATCAAGTCATTGTTGTGTCTGTGTTGCATTTTGGAAATCTTACAGCAGTACAAGCAGGCAAGAAAATACGGTACAACCCAAGGACACACACCGGGCAGTGCCTTCAGCACTGCTGAACTGATGAACTGGAAGCCCAGCAGAGAAGACTGCAGTTCTCCCCACCCACAGCTACTAGAAAGATTAAGCTGTTTGTATGAAATCCATACGAACAGTGAAAGATTTTCAGAAAAAATAAGCAACTTTAAAGAACAAATAAACAGTCTCTTCTCCAACACAAAAAAAAATATAACCGCTAATGTTTAATGTTTGCAATGTGTGAAATTCTGATGATAACACTGTCTAGGAACTGAAGTAACAAGACAGACATGGCAAGGAGGAACTCGGCACAAAGAATAAGCAAGACAGGGTCAGAGTCTTGCACCTTTTGCTCCATCAGTGACCTGGCATCACTCAGAGAAGAGCAACAGGATGCTGAGTCAGCAGCCCCACTCTCATGGTGTGTGGCTTCCTCTTCTGCTTGCTCTCAAAGCTAAAAAGCTCAAGAAAGGGGGTGGCTAGAAACATCACAGCCTGCAGGCTAGGTTTTAACAGAAACAAGATGACTCAGGCAGCAAAGTGAGGAGGATGTGATTAATAAAAATATTTCAGAGAGCAGAGACACCCCCTCACACCCATCTGCCAAGTCTAGAGGGTATTTCATTGAATACTACCAAAGAAAGCCATCCACATCAGGCAAACTATCCTTCTGCCTTTTGGACATGACAGAAGCTCACTGCAGGAAATACTTTAGGGAATTGATAGGATGGCACAGATTTAATGACTAATAGGTCATATCCATAGAGATAAGAATATAAGCATTTGATCTAACCATACCACCCCTGCTTCTCCGCAGCGCTCCATGTAGCAGCATCTCTAGCACTACTCAGCAGCAGGAGCAGCACAGCTCGGGGCTGCCACTGGTCCTGGATGCAGCAAAGCCCCAAATCTAAAATCCTAACATCAGTTCTCCACCAATTCACCAGTCCAGAGCAGTGATGGAGCTGAGGCATTGGTAGAGCCATGGTTCTGCTACCCCCAAAGCACCCAGACTCACACACTGCAAGCCAGACCTTGACCAGTGCATCTGTCCAGCAGGAATCAAAGCCTTTGCTTTTCATACCCCACAGGAGTGCTGCAAGGATTAGCTCATATTTATTCAGCACCATTTTTCAAAGCACTGCATGAGTGTCAAACCCTTCCTTTTTTTCTTTTTCCTTTTTTCCTCTCCCCTTCCACTCTTTTTTCCCCTTTTTTATTTTTAAATCCATTCCTTGCTGTGTCATTCCCTCCCAAAGGAACACATCTCTCTCCTCCTGAGAACCAAACAAACACAGAGCCATTGGCAGAGGGAGATGGAAAGCACACTGCAGGCTGCTCCTCCTCAAACACACCGATACCATCATCGATACCACCATCAGCCAGACCTCATGTGCATGCCCACTGGCCAGGGCTTCTCATACACCCTGTAGAGGGACCAAACAGGACACAGAGCAGGATGTTCAACCTTCTCTCATTTTCTTTTTGGTTTCAAGGAGGAAAATAGGGGTCAAACAGCCAGGGAGAGGCACCACCAGCAGTCATACTCTATGCGAGCCCTTTCTTGCAGCACACCCTTGCAGCCAGAAAGCCAAGTGGATGCTGCAGCAAGGTCTCCCTGTAGGTGCTTCCCAGCCCTCAGGGGACATGCCAAAGTGTTCACTCAGCCTTGGCACAGGAGGATGGTTTGCATCAGAGCACGCGCTGGTGCTGGATGTGAGACCTCATGTATGTGCAAGCGCAGACAAACCCAGCGTGGGACATTTTCTCCTGCAGGCAGAGCTGCTGAGGCAGGTGGAAAGAGCAATCCAGGTGATGTGTGACAAAGTGTTACAGCTTCCTCAGAAGGACAGAGCTGGTCCCAGCACTGCTTACAAAGCCAGCCAGGACCCCAACAGCAGATGGTGTGCAGAAAGAGTTAAAAAAGAGGTACTAAAACAGAACGGCTCCATTCAAACAGTACCTGACAGACACCTGGGCACCCATGCAGGTAGCAATAACAGCCCTTTCACCATCAGAGAGGGGGAAGGTCCAAGTGTTAGAATTAACATAAATCTCCAGACACTGCAAAAGCAAATTAAGTTGACTTATACACAAGAAAAAAAGGCTCTTCTCAACACGTTGCTTTGATAAGTTTACAATACATTTTCAAATGAGAGAATAAAAACATCAGATCCAGAAGTAGAAGACAGACCATGACTCAAAATCGTGTGGAATTCTGTATACCAATTTTAGCTTATTTTGTTTCCTATTTCAGAAATCTCATTCCCTAGATCAAAAGAAAGTTGTTTGATGAGCTTAGCATGAGCCAACCTTCGTGACTCTGGGAAAGGTTTTGAGTTCATAAAAATAAATCATTTTTATCATGACAAATTTAGTGTCACTTCCCACACACAGTGACACTGCACAGCCAGAGCATCTTTCAGGGTAAGGACCTCAGGAAAATTCCACTAGCTTCACTTGGCCTCAGCGCATGCCAAATTACAGCTTCAGTTCTCTCCCAGGATTTCTTTCAGGAGCTCTGCACATGCACACCAGAGTTAAAGCCAAGGCATTTCCATCCTCTGACTTGCAAAAATGACATTAAGGCAATGACAAAAAGGAACTATAGCTAAAGCAACACAGCTGTTGTATTTCAGAAGGTTTTAAAAAGCAGGAGCCGATTCATCTCCTTGTTCTACTGCTGTCAGTCACAGCACTAGCACTGCCTAAGACAGAGGTTTACTTCTCCAAGTGGAAGCAGATTTCAGCAGACCCCTCCTCTCCCCCCCTTGCTCAGCTGTGCAGGTCTTCACCTCTCAAGTTGCCTTTAGCAACAAAAAGGTTATGACTGTGCTTAGATGAAGCAGAAATCGAGGAGGAAATATTCCAGAGATGTTTTATACATTTGGCTTGGCATGAAATAAAATTCCCACGTGGACAGGAAGACTTACTGCAGGTACTTGCCTTATGGAGCACAGGTTCTGAACTAGAAAAGTCCCTTTAACTACCCAGCTGTGAGGTTTCTTCGTCAAAAGAAAGGGAAAAAAAGTAGATGAAGAATGTCATTTTTATGACAGAAGGCAACATCTATAAGGCAGAAGTGATCAGTATTAGGGAAGGATACTTCAGATGACAGAGGCTGCTAAATACTGACTGCACGGCATCACACAAAGGATTCTGCATCACACAGCGGGATGAAGACCATTGGATAGCAGAGCCTGTATACCGCCCAGCCATGCACACTCCTCACTCTTGGAGCAAGCACGGCATCAGCTCACTTTGTATCAGAGGCAAAGCTCCCCTGCACGGGGCATCGGGGTGTTGGAGTGGAGCTCTGTGGGGCTTCTCTCTGCCAAGCAGCCAAAGGCAGCCTTTTCAGAATTATACTACACAACACTAAAGCCAAACAAAAGCACTCTCAGATGGAGAAACGAAGCACATCCAACCAAAAGAAGCACCAGGACTGAGTCTGAGCTGCAAGCCCCAGCCTGTGCACGACAGTGAGAAGGGACAGGGACAACACCTGGGCTCGACGGAGCTGAAGGCGAGGACAGCACGTGAGACGCAGGAGGACGGAGGCGAGGCCATCCCCCGGGGCGGGCAGCGGGTGCCTACCTGGATGTAGGCGCGCTGCAGGTAGCTGTAGGGCACCCTGCGCTGGAAGTCAGCGCGCACCTCCTCGGCGGCGCGGTGCCGGGAAGCGGCTCCCAGGCGCGGTTCCTCGCAGCTCCGCAGGCAGCCGGCGCGCCGCAGCAGCGCCTCGAAGAAGGGCAGCTCCCCGGCGGACCCCGCGCCCAGCGCCGCCAGCCGCACCTGCCCCCGGCAGCGCCGCCGGCACCGCAGCCGCTCCGCCCGCAGCTCCCGCCGGCTGCGCAGCGCTCGTTCCAGGCACCGCGCCGCGCCCGCGAAGTCGCCGCCGTAGTACGCTTCCACGCCGCTGGCGTACAGCGCGTCGAAGGGCTCCAGCGGGCCGCCCTCCTCTCCGCAGTTCCCGCACGCCGCGGGCAGCGCCGCCGCGAGCAGCAGCATAGCCCCCCAAGGCCGGCACCTCGGCGCCATGCCCGCCGCACGAGCACCGGCTCGGTGGCGATAGGAGCGACGCGGCGGTATCCCAGCCCGGCTCCCTGCGCGCCCTCCCCCGGCCCGCACCTCTTAAAGGGCCCCGCGCCGCCGGCCCGCCCCGCCCCGGCCCCCCCGCAGAGGGAGCAACCGCGGCGCAGAGCATCCCTACTCCACGCTCTGCAAATCGCCCTGATGTTTTCCTTTCCTTTTTCCCTTCCTTTTTTCCTTTCCCCTTTCTTTTTTCCTTTTCCCTTTTTCTTATTTCCTTTTTCCCTTTTCTTTTTTCAATCCCTTTTTCCTTTCCTTTCCTTCTTCGTTAAATTGATAACCCCTCCCTTTCCCCCCCACAGTGCAGCACTTCTTAGTGCTATGATTCTATGATTCGATTCTATGATTCTATGATTCTTCACTCCTCTACCGTTCTTGCCCCCCTCCTACGTCCCAGCATCACTGCTTGCAGGATGCCCTTCTGCAAGGCTTCTGCTTAGAGCCGTTTCTCACTGTGCCCTCTTGCCCCGACAGCCTCCTGCTGCTGGGAATTCTGCAGATAAATCATCGGGGATGGTCACAGCGAATGGCTGCTGCAGCTCTTTCAGCTCCCAGCTGCGTGTACGTCTCGCTTCCTCCAGGGTTTCTCTCTTCCAGTGCTGGAAAACCCTGCCATGCCAAAATGTTACTCATGTTTGTATGAATTTTAAGGCATTCTTGTGACGAGACATTTGGCAACATGGCCCTGTGACACACACACACATCTTACTTGGCATTTTCAATAAGCTCAGTGTTGAACACCTGTCAGCAAGATGTCTTTAATATTAACAAGGTTAATTTGGCTGAAATCAGCTTTTCCTAAGTGAGATTGAATGGGCAAATCCTTCATCTCATTAGAAGCTGTTCTGTGCTTGAATGCTCTAAAACCTGTGCAGACCTGTGCACTGTGCTCCATAGGGTGTCTCACCAGGGACTGTGGCTATAGTTGCTGCAGACATTTCAGGAACATCTCTATAGCAGCTGGCTATCCCTTCACAGACTGAAATAGCAGCAAATGGGAGATGTCTCAAACCCATTTGGTCCAGTTTTCATTAGTGCATAGTACCAGGTGTTCCTGATGGTCCTGCTGAGCTTCTCCCCCTGCTGTTCTTGTGGCTTCAGTCACATTGTTCCCATTCTCTGCTGCTACGTCCAGGATCAGAAGCAGGATTCAGCATTCTTTATTTTGGGCAATGCAGCACATTATGGAGCCTTGTTCACAATAGCTTCACATCAGGAAAGTTTTCTTCCCACACAGCTGAAAATTTACGTAAGTTCTTGGTGAAGAGTTTTCCCATCCAGCAAAGCTTTCACAGTGCTCTTCCTTGTTGCTTCCTTGCACCTTGGCACAAAGTTTTGGGTGTCCTTCCTTCTGGAACCAAACACAGTGAAGGAGGTCCCCTTGAGAAAGGTATGTGCTGCAAGCACTTGCCCATTTAGTATGAGTTCTTATGTCCAGATAAAGCCCTTCCCAAGGAAAGTGTAATCAGCACTCCTGGGGCATGGATATGAGGTTATAGGAAGGCTATTTCAACCTTTTCAAAGGTCTCTGTGAGGATTTGCTGCCTAGATACAAGACAGACGCACCATTGGTGAGCATGCAAGTTTAGATTGGGGTCATCTGTCTCCAAAACACAGTGATAAAACACCTGTCTCCTTGGCTGGGCTTTGTGAAAGATGCAGCCGAAATGATCTATCTGCAAAAGTACTGTATGTAATTCCATGCTGTTTCCACATCAGCAGCATCTCTATGTGCGCAGTGATAACACTGAGGCCCTGCGCAGGAAGGAATGCAGAAAGTGCATAAATGAGTGGAGAGAGAACAAAACAAAACAAAACGCTTTATTTCAGTCTGCTACATTTTCTGATCCAGATGTTTTTGTCATTAAAAAAAAAAAAAAAATCCTTTTCAGAACAGTAAAGAAAAATTCTTAGTTCTGACATCCTGTAGTGCAATTCCACTGCACACTCTCAAAAGCGTTTCTCTGCAGACTCCCATTCACTCTGGCACCAGTCTCCCCCAACCTTGCTCTGCAATCCTTCTGCTTAAGGTCATGTTTTCTTTGTTCACAATAGTTTGTGCTTTTCCTCACCTTGATGCTTCATTGCTACCTAATTGCTCAGAGCTCAGCAAGAGTTGGCACACAGAAGGAACCGAACCCCAGGCGTCTCAAATGCAGTTGTTGGAGCAATCACTGTTTTTTCCATGTGTCTATTCACTGCGCAAATGGAAAGGCAAACATTAGATGGAAAAAAAGTTTGGTGGTCCTCGGAGTGGGTTTCATCTCCTTGCAGAAGATCGGAATCATACCAATTCAGCAATGCAGCTGCTACAGCCATGCCAGAGTGGCACTGGAAATGGTGGGTTCACCTTAGTATAGTCCTGTGTGGCAGCAACAGCGTGGAAATGAGTTGGAATTAGGAGCTTTGCATGTACAAGGGCAGGATTTGACCCAACAAGGCAGTCACTGCTTTAGGACATTTCAACTCCAAATCAGTCCAGAGGATGCCTGAGATAGCCCTCATGCCTCTAATGAAAGGAATAATTCTAAATATGTTACAACTCACCCCGTGTTCAGATGTTGATCCTGGCCCCTGTGCAGTTGTTTTGAAAGACTTTTTCCTGCGTAAATAGATTCATCTGAAGCTTTTTTTAATTATTATTTTTTAAGGAAAGTTCTGATATGTGGGTCAAACCACTGATGACTTGGCAACAAGATAAGAGCAGATTTTAGGATGTCTTTCAAAATGGCTTTTCAACATGCATTTTACAAGCAGACCTATGTTTCAAGCCCTCTCTGTTTCATTTGTAGGCTTGCCTTCCTAGTTAATTCATGAACAAACTTTATAATTCCCAAATCAAACACAGGTGACCTCTTCAGCCATGTACTTTAGTGAGGGAATTTTGAAACAGATGGAAAAGTACAACGTAGCCTCATTGAAGGGCTTTGATCCTTGCATAATATATATAGGTACAGGTTTTATTGAATATATCAAAACCATTACTGAAGTACTTCATGATTTAGACCTAAAAACAGACCTGAATTCTGTCGAATGTCTCCATCTGCCCATCTCCTCTCTTTATTCAAGGAGTGGGAGTGATTGTGGATGTCAATGGATGACAGGAAATGAACATCAGAAGATTTTATGTAGTAATAGTTGTGCATTACATTTTGGGACCATTTTTCTAGGAAAAAAAATCAATCATCAGTAATAAAAATATTTTAGCTTCAGGAGGGGTGAAATAATGAGAAACCAAAGGAAGAACATTTTCTTTAAGTTATTATTCTTATTTATTGCAAGATGAATGCTCATTGCAACAGAACAATGTAAGGATGGAGAAAATAGAAGGTGCATGGCCACCCCATCTCCTCTGAATTGTATCTGTTGTTTCATTGATGACAGCTTACAAATCTGCTTCCCCACCTGCCTCTTGTTCCATTCTTTCTTTTGGTCTGTCTCTGACATGTTGTTCAGGATGGCTCACCAGTGACTTGAGTTCAGCACGGGTGAACAGGAGGTCTTTAATTTTTCCTCCAAAACCCTTTTCACTTTTACTTCCTTCTAGCAATATGAAATAGACTCCTTTTACTTATTTCTAGCAATTTTTCTATTTGATCCAGGCTCAGGATCTGTGAACAGCTCTCTTTGTTTTTCTTCTCCCAAACATATCTAACCTGTGATCAAAGATATGCTCTGCTTCCATAACCTACCAAAAATCACAAGCACCTGAGACCCTCTGCCCTAACATGCCTCTGACCTGACATTACTTCAGTGTATGTCCTCTCATATTGAGCTGCCAACAGTCTCTTTTTCATGACTTCCCACATTACTTTTGCATACGGATGAAATGATTGCCAACAAAGCTTTGCTTACACTTACATTGCTCTAAATGCATCATCCACCTGTGTATCTTTTCTCACACAAACTCATAGCCATCTCATATCCTTCCTTTCAGCACCCAGTGAAAGGTTTGCTTTTCCACTCTGTGCTACACTCCATTGTTAATACCAGCCTTGGCAGCTCATTTGTTTCTTTGTCCTGGCCCAGCCCATCTCTCTGCTTTGTTTTGTGGGACTTACTGTACATCTGCCTCTTTTGGAATAGGTTTTTAGCTCTAGAATCCACCATTTCTTCTTTCCTGGCGCACAAACCAAACCCCCAGAGCCATCTCTGCAGCAAACCCTCTATTGTGCCTCTCAAGGCTGGGAACATGTGCTTTACTTTGCAAGCACTTTGTGATTTCCAGATATTCACGTGCTGGATCTGTTATACAAACCTTTATACAAGAGCACAGTCATGTACAACACAAGGCTCGTTGCTGGCACTCAGCAGAGAAATACAATAATATAAATCGTATGAGCAGAAGACTCTTGTGTCTTCCCATGTGTAGGCAACAGTATAACCTTATTAAATTCCAAGTGCTTGTACACTTTGCTTACTCAGAAACTTGGACTGTACTTTACTGCCATTATAAATTAAAAACCAATAAAAATAAAGTTCAAAAAGTATAAAATATACAACCACAGGCGCACTGGTGTCTCAGAGAAGTTGGCCACAAGCCTACGTCTTTGAGCTTGGGTTTAAAATACCTTCATGGACTGTATTATTTAAGACGAAGACAATTAATACAACACCAAGGAGTTACTATTTTCTGCTCTACGTAGCACTTCTGCTACACTGACAGCCTAAAATGTTTCCAATATTGAGAGTCGCTGTTCTGAAGAGGAAAAAGCATTGTAAATGATATAAATGGAGAAAATCACAGAATCATGTGGCGTGGTTATTTTCAGTGCATAGTGCAGAGTTAATGAGACGTGTGAATGGTTTCATTGTATAACAGTCTGAACTTTGGCTGTAAGCTATGGCAGTTTCAGAGTGTAAACAGGGTCCAATTCATGACTGGTGTAATTGGGCTGATGTCAGTGACATTGCCAAAGGACGGGTTAAGTGCTGCACGTGTGCACACA